AAGGTTTAGGATTAGTTATTGGTTTAAATATAGTAAAAATAATTAGTTCCTTTTGAATTTTGACATGAGAGGACATTGTCTCATATTATTTAATTACGTTGTAAATGGTAATCGTTGACTGGTGGGTATGTTTTTCAAGCTCAAGTTCAATTCATTACGCTGCAGTATTGTATAGTGCATTATGCTTGTGTGTGCAAAACTGATTGCGTTTAGTATGTGGTTAATTAACTCGCGTAATTTACTACTGTGCATATTGACATTTTCTAAAATTAGATTTATCATTAAGATAGTTTGAATACCTATTTTGATAATCCGTCGAAATATTTCTTATGTTGTCTGAAATTAATCTGATTATTTTCGATATTTGAAAATTGATCATGAAATGTTTTCGTTACTTGTTTAGGTACGTTTGTTTAATCTTTTAGATTTTTATTCATAGTTTGCTGATTATCATTTGGTGTTTGAATGTAAGAATCATATCTATCACCGTCATTTGCGTCTAATGTCCTATACAGCCATTTTTGTGCTGTACCCATGGAATTGAATACTCCACGTTTATTTCTTTCGTGTGAGAATTGTTTTACAAATTTTTTTAATGTATTGATACGTGATTGACCAGTTTCAATATTTACAAGTAAATATTGATATAATAAATAAATAATAAAGTAACAATTTCGTCTTTATTAGACCATTTAGTTAAATTTAAAGTATTGTTCAAATTCTTTAAAGTTATTTCGAGAGTTTTAATACTGTTTCCAATAAGGCAAGTATTAATAATGATAACATGCAGTGTTATGTTGTGTTGTGATATAAGTGTTTCCTATAGAAATCGGTAAAATAGGATTTCTTAATGGAGTTAACGTGTAGGCATTACTGGAAATTCCTATGAGAAGGACGATGAAAGCTGACAGAAACATTTTGGTTTTTAAGGCACGATGCTTGTAACTGTATCACTTCAATTCTGTACGTTTGGTCTTGTTGCTTCTTTTCTTCAGTTAATTTTCACAAAAAATTGGAACGAACTGGACTAAACTTTTTTTTCGAAAATTCAATCTCAGGACTCTATAGCACTCTGAAGATCATCCGCTCCGAACTGCGCCAATTATATTTTTCGTTCAGTAATTCTTGTTTTGAAACACTATTTATTTTATTGAAAACCAAGAAGTTACAACAAAAAATACTAGACTCACTTGCGCTTCACTCAGCTCGGCGACGCGACAAGACGCCGCGCTGCAAATTGTCGCTAGATAAATATTTCATTGGTTTAAATGCGACGCGTCGTAAAGTGCAGTGTAGGTGGGGATCTATTCATTTGAACCAATGAAATATTTAGCTTGCGACAATTTGCAGCGCGGCGTCGTGTCGCGTCGCAGAGCTGAGTGAAGCGTAAGTGAGAATTGACCTTAAAGCTAAAAACAAGAAAATGAGACGGAAGGCTCTGCGCGCGTTATTTATATTAAAATACTGCTGACGGTGCAACTGAGTGGGTGAAACCTTGATATGGCATCACTTTTCCAGGCCGATTATCCCTTACTCAGCAGCTTTATAATATGTGAGCTTTTTCAGTGGCGTATGCTTAGATTTAACACTGAAAAGGAGAATTATTCGTATAATAATAACATAGGGTTTTATAATATAACTTATTGCGCAATGGTATGGTACCATCTGGCATTGCGCTAAAAAGATATTTTTACAGCTTTATAAAACTCCACCGAAAATGAATCCTTTGAGATTATTCTGACCATATTGGCAATAGCTAGCTAGGGGACCTATCTTAATGTTTAGTGCAGACAAATCTGTCATAAAACCCCTTAAGCAATTCTAAAAGGTGTTCACAATAGTTACGTACCATCGTCACCAAAAGTAACTGGGACATCAACATATTAGCTTCTGTAGTATTATATGATTTTTAGTGTCAAATATATGTCAAACTATGAACTAAATGAATGATGGTGGAATTAGTCCAGGAGATTATTTATGGATAATTTTTGTCCCAGATACTTTTGGTGACGATGGTACATTACAAGTGCGTTTATGAACATGATTACAATAACGAGTGTGAAAGATTAGACGAGTCGTTCTGAACACACGAGCTTTGTAGTCATGTTTAAACGCACGTGTGATGTACAACGTTTTATCTACAAAGCGAAAAATAATGTTTTTTCAATCATTTTCGTTTATTAGTCGTTGTCTACCTTCATTTTACCTTTACAGGTTTAACTTTGACATTTTTCAAATTATCGAATGTAATACCACAAGAGGTTTCAGGATTATTTGATAATACTTTCACCTGTCACGAAACGCGTTACACAGCAACACCACGACTCCGAAGGAGAAGAGATGTTCCTGGTAACGCGTTGAGTATTAGGTAATCCTGAAACATTGAGTGGCATTCAAAAGGTTATACAACGAACTAAACTTTAATAATTTGAAATTTAAAAAAATTTCTATAATATAATTTTCTATAAATGCCACCAAGCGCGATAATCCCAAAAAGCTTATCACTTATTAAGCCTCTCGTGTCATATGGGAATAATGTACAGTGACTTGTATAACCGAAAATAGTTGTGTTATGAATTCATAACCTAGTTCATAACACCCTGTCATGACACCACATGACATTACTCAAATACTGGATAAATGGTTATGTAAAGATGTCATAACCAAACGCTTGTAGATAAAAAGAACTATTTAGATCTTCTCTTCTGACTCGAAAGAATTCCACAATGTCATTAGAGAGATGGGAGAGAATGGAAATGACCAGTATTAATTCCATTGCCCTCATCTTAGGTTACAGGTCTTGATAGATTTAGTGCCGGTACTTTTGCTCTCATTTAACAGCCGTTAAAAATAATCAGGGGTTTGAATGAGGGTTTGAATGTGCTCTAACCACATCATATGTATAGACCTTGGCCACAACCCTCTTTACGTATCCAGCCATGAACAAACATATGGCAACACTGCATCATCAATGACTTGGTGGTAGGACCGTCGCGTGTTGCGTCGCATCCTTACAGTTCAATTTGGCAGTTTAACAAGGGTTATGGATAAAAAATATAATTTTTTTCAATGTAAATGTTTTATTTATAGTAAAAAAGTACTTTTTATTGAGGCCCAGTTCAAGGGCAAGTTCTAGTAACATCTTTACAAAACAGAACAAATCTAAATCATCGAGTAATCATCTAACTAATTATACAAAGAAGCAGAAACATACACCTGGGTAGGTCCTACATGAATTTAAATTTAAACAGATGTGGTTGGATACCAAATTATACTTATTATAGTAATAGATAATCATCTTCGCGAATGATGGCTGTTTCCGGAAAGTGTAAAGCACAAACAACAGAATATTATGATGGTGTCCAGTTATCCCTAGGGATTAATTTTAACTATTTTTCTCTTAAATCACCATCATTTGAAATGTTTAAGGTAGAAACAGTTGTCTTACCTTATTTTATGGTACTCTCATAATTGGATTTGCATCAATTGCATCCCGGGACGCAGCACGTTTTCGGCATAATAAATTAATATATAGGGAATATATCTATTAGTACCCGTGGTGCATACAAACTTTTATGTCATACCAGTTGGTTTCGAATAATAAATATAGGTAGCTATATTTTTGTAAATAAAGAATAAGTTAATCGAAAACTGTTTTTTGCGTCTTTATGCCCGCGCGGGCCATAATGTATACTTTATGTCCGCACGGGCATAAAGTAATGAATTATGTAGATGGTATATCTAGGGTATAAAAACAAAATAATGTACTGGTATGACATAAAACTAAAAATTATTATTTTTGTTAATGTCAAAACACTTGTCAACATAGTTTTAAACCTGCTAAGGTAAAATAACAGGTACTTTTTGTGAAGAAGTGCTTGAGGTCCGACACGATAAGAGATAGGTATAGGAACATTAGGTATACATGAGTATTCTGAGCGTTCTAATACCATAAAAATAAACCATGCATACCATTTGAAATAAGCCACTTTTTGATACATTTATAATTAGTTTATTTTAACATTCATTTTACGCCCTCCTTATAACATTTTGCTGGTTGCTTTGTTTAGCTACGACCAAAATTTGATCTTTTACGTTGGATATAGTCTTTGAAAAGGATGAATAACTTTACCATCAGCTGTCTTTTTCTATTCAGTCACTTTCTACTCTTACCAAGGACGTATATAAGGGGGGGGGGGGGGGGGTTTGGGGGTTCAACCCCCCCCCACCCCATTGAACTGAAAAAAATATTTATTTTTTTAAGAAAAATAAACGTTGTTGGGCGTGGAACCCGAAAAAATATCCTTTGGCGGCTATGCCAGGTTACCTATACAGCGTTTAGTCTAAAATTGAAACCCTTTCCAGCATAGACCAGGAGCCGCCACTGCTCTAAAACCCTCCCCCCCATGTAAAAGCTATAGCTACGTCGTCGACTCTTACTTTACCAGTATAGTATAAATTTCTATGATCTAGGCTTATCTTATCTCCTGGTGATTTCTTCGAGTTTCTCCTGTAATTTAAATTTTTTATTCATTATCTTATTCACCGTTATCTGAACGCTTTTTCGTTATTGATAGTAGTTGTTAAAATTCTCAAACTAGATGGTTTGCGGCAGTGCGGGCGACCTATCTTTCCGTACTATACTGCGGTCACCCATCTACCAACGTGCCGAATCAGCTGAAACTTCCTTTATAATTCGCACTTATAACCTGTAATTAGGGTATAATCAAAAGAATTAAAATAAAAACACCCTATTATCTTTACTAATTTATTCCACAAACTAATTTAAATACACATCTACACAGAAAAATGTGCTACACTTAGTGCATTTTATTTTTAATAATGAATCAATATTAAAATTAATCACAGCAACAATAATTTACCAACATTTAAGATTTTTTACAGCTAAACCCTAACTATACAAATATATTTTTTTGGAAAGCTTCAAGCTGTTGTATCCCAAAAATGAATATAATTAAATTTTACAATAATTGTTTATTGGAATATTCAATTGAACGAAAGTTTTAAATGCGTAGCTACTATTGTTTAATTAGGTAGGTATATTAGATTCATAAATAGAATGTATTTTAATTAAATTTTCCGTTTATTGAAAGTTTCATTAAAATTTTTCATTTGAAGGGGTTATTGCTAAATTATATTGCAATGTGTATGCGTTATAAATTATGATAATTAATTATCAGGCTAAATAAAAAAAAAGTAACCAACAATAGCTGTACATTATAAACAATTAATATTACATAAATTTTTCAATGATTGAAATTGTTATCATTGAACTTATTGCAATAAATTACTAATGATCTACCAAAAATACATTGCTTATCAATTGCTTCGGACATGGTAGAAATATTTTTACAGGCTACTACTTAACACATCACATCCGTAGCTTTTATTTACACTATTTAATTTGCACACAATTACATTTATTTGATGCACGTACTATTACAATTTTTATACCCTGCTTTTTAGATTTAATGTGGTAAATTTTTTTTGTATACACAAGTCCAAGATAGCAATACTTCACCTGTCTTTAGCTACACGGTTCAATTTCTGAAAATATTACTTCAATGACACTTTACACCAGTTCATCACATTATATAATTTTTAAGATCTCTCTCGGTCCACTGGAGTTTCTACGGGTAGAACACTGCTGGTAGGTGGCGACGCAATCGGAACTGGGTGGTGTAAACTGGTGAGCTGATGGGTTTCCTGGTGCATCAGCAAACTGGACGCACTAGGAAACCCAAAGAGTTGAGATCACTGAATCCGTGGCCAATAGTTCGAAGCCAAATCAGCTGATTGAGATGGAATTTGAACTGGTACAGAAACACCTGCTGATATTACACCTGAAACAAAAAAATATATATATATATATTCATAAAATGTTCTCTTTTATGTCTTCTCAAGGGCTGGAAAATCATATTAGGAATCACTTTTTAAACCAATCAAATATTATAGTCTTGATGGAGTGTGGAAGTGAACTACTACTAGTCATCTCTTTCATTCTCCTTAATCGTACTTTTCAGTAATAATCTCCGTCAGTTCTTGACCAATCTTGTCCCAATGAGTATTTTATATTTCATAACAAGAAGCACTCCACTCATATTTTAGACTACGCACAGCGTGTGCGGCACAGGTACTTCATTTAGTATGCATTTATTTACACACTACAATAGTGGTCTGCCCCGCTGAAAGTGGTGGAGCTCGCACAACAAGAAAACCAAAACAAAAGATTCAAAGACCACTAAGAATCGCAACATAAGACATTCATTGCTCTCAGAAGATGTTAGGAAACAGTACCAGGACATACCTGAAAGTACGTTTACCAGCGTGTTACCAGCAAGTCAAGTTACTTTTTAATTTAGTAAATTTTTTTGAAAAACAAGAACTACAACAATTAGGCGCAGTCGGTAGGATAATGAACATGGAACAAATGACAAAAGTTCTCACAACTTTCCTAAAGAATCAACAAGAATTTCTAATCTAAAGTCAGCATTTTTTGGGTCAGTTTCCATCAAATTCCCAAAATTTAACTAAAAGTATCAAAAAATTTCATTATTATCAGGAAACAGGGAGCACTTTTGATCTATGGTACAAAAGATATCAAAGCCTTTTCACAGAAGCTGCCAAAAATATTTCAGAGCCCGCAAAAGTAAAACTTCTACTAAGAAAATTGGACTCACAAATCCATGAAAGGTATGTCAATTTCATTTTACCTAAGGAAATCAAAGATTTAACCTCCAGTGAAACTGGAAACAAACTAACCCAGTTGTTTGGTAAGAAAACTACATTTTTCACACCAATTCATGAAGTTAAATAAAAATAAATCGGAAGATTTTATCGCATTTGCTTCACATGTTAATAAAATGTGTGAAGAATCCAAGATAAATCAAATCACAGCAGACGAATTTAAATGTTTAATTTTTACTTGTGGCTTACAATCGAGTAAAGATAGTGGAATACGAACCAGAATTTTGAAAAAAATAGATTCTAATAACAATGATCAACATACATTGGAAAGTTTAATTTCTGAATATCAGAGGATTGAAAATATACAGGACGCCCAAATAATTGAAGATCCGTTTCTCAATGTAAATGCCATTTTGAACAGAAATAAACATTTACCAAATTCAGGTTTCCAGCAAAATTTTAAGTTCAAGCCCAACAGTGAACCGTTTCTACATGAGAAATATGCAAATTATTTCCAGGATGGTAATGCAGTTCTAAACAATCCTTGCTAGTCTTGCGGCGAACTACATTTCGCAAAATTTTGTTCATTTAAAGAACACTCATATCAAAGATGCCATAAAGTAGGTCATAAAGAAGGGTTTTTTGATTTCAGGAACGAAAATAAAGGGTTTTTGAGACAAATTATAATATGAAAAATGCAAGCTCAAATGCCATGATGTTAATAATATTGGGTCAACTTCTGGAAGCAAATTTCTTCAAAATCAATAATATTCCAAACAGGTTACAAATTGATACAGCTTCAGATATCACGGTTATCTCACCAGAAACATGGACAAATATAGGAAAACCAGAGTGTCAGCCCACAAATCATGATGCTAAAAGCGCTTCAGGTGATAAAATTAATTTAAGAGCCGAATTTCGATGTACAATAAGCTTCAACAAAATAGTTTTCAGGGTAAATGTTTTATCACTTCAAAACCTAATGTCAATTTACTGGGTATAGATGGGATCATAAAATTTGGTTTATGGAACGTACCATTCAACTCAGTCTGCAATGTTGTTGAATCAAAGCAATTTTCAATCAATACAGAATCATTAAAATTACCCTTTCCTAAAGTTTTTTCAAGAAACATTAGGTCACTGTGGAAAGCCAAAGTTAATTTTCATATAAAAGACGATACAGTTCCTATTTTCAAAGCAAAACACCAGTAGCTTATTCAGTCACGGATAAAGTTGACCAAGAACGTCAAAGGTTGCAAGAAAAAAATATCATATCATTAGTTGAATATCCTGATTGGGCAGCTCCAATTGTAGTTACAAAGAAACAAAACAGAGATGTCAGATTGTGTGGCGATTACTCTACTGGTCTCAATGAAGCACTTCTACCACATCATTACCCTCTTCCAACAGTCGAAGAAATTTTTTCAAAATTACAAAATGCTACAATTTTTAGAATCATTGATCTTTCTGATGCTTTCCTTCAAATTTAAATCAGTAAAGAATCAAGAAAATATTTAACAATAAACGAATAAATACTCATCATGGATTGTTTCAATACAATAGAGTGCCATTTGGTATAAAAGTTGCCCTAGCCATTTTTCAACAAGTTATGGATACCATGTTATCAGGTCTGAAAGGAACATCTTAGTATCAGGTCAATCAGAGGAAAAACATTTTTAAAATTCAAATCTTGTCCTATGGTGTATAGAAAAGTTTGGTTTTCACTTGAAATTACAAAAATTTAGAGTCAAAAAAATTAAGTATTTGGGATATATTTTAAGTGAAGGGGAGTTGGAACCAGATCCAGCAAAAACTGAAGCTATCAGAAATATGCCACCGCCCCATGATATCAACACTATACGTTCCTATCTTGGAGCAATAAGCTATTATGGTAAATTTATTAAAGAAATACACGTGTTACGTCAACCACTAAACGAATTATTAAAAAAATGAATCAAATTTTTATGGACAACAGAATGTCAAGACTCGTTTGAAAAATTAAAAAAAAAAAAAATAAAGTCGGATCTGAGTCTAACCAACTACAATCCAGTTCACGAAATCATTTTAGCGGGAGACGCAAGTATCACTGTATTTTACACAGATTTAAAAATGGCCCTATCAAACCTATATGGCACGGATCTAGGACTCTTACTGAAACAGAAAAGAGATACAGTTAAATAGAGAAGGAGGCATTGGCTTTAATATTTGCTATCACAAAATTTCACAAGATGATTTATGGTCGAAATTTCACTTTACAAACAGATCATAAACCTCTTTTGACAATTTTCGGTTCAAAGAAATTCAATCCATACTGCAAATCGTCTTCAAAGATGAGCATTAGTTCTCAAAGCATATGACTTCAAGATAGAATACATTGAAATTAGCGATTTTGGTCACGCAGGTATTTTGTCAAGATTGGTTAGACACAATTAAATGATGAAGAATATTTGATTGCTCAGATCAACCTCGAATCAGAAGTTTGTCATATATTTGATGAAATTTTAGAAAAATGTCCAATTACTTTCAAGATGATTTATCGAGAAACTCAACAGGACAAATTTTATTCTAAACTTATTCAATATATGTACAGAATGATTGGCCAACAAACAAAAAGTATATTGATAATTCTGCTCTTAATTTTTATTATAGACGAGACTTGCTAGCCAAATATATAATATATAATAAATTATCAATTTTATGCCTACATCAAAAATTTCTCCATTAGCATGGCCTGTTCCAAAGGTTCCATCGCAACGAATTCATATAGATTTTGCTGGTCCAATCAACGATTACTATTATTTAATTATTGTTGATGCCTATTCGAAGTGGACTGAAGTTTTTGAAACTAAAACAATCACGTCAAGCTTTACAATATCAAAATAAGAACCAAGTATATTCACGATTTGGAATTGTTGGAACAGTTGTATCAGACAATGGCAGTCAATTCACTTGCAACAAATTTGAACAATTTTGTCAGGAGAATGGTATTGAACATATTTGCACAGCAGCATATTGGCCAGAGTCAAATGGTCAGACAAAAAAGTTTATTGACACCTTTAAAAAAGAGCACGTTCAAAAATTAAACGAGGGGAAGTCATAGACAATTACAAGATATTAACATATTTTCAAGAGTGTACAGGTCTAGTCCAAATCCAAATTTTCCAGATGGAAAATCTCCGGCTGCTGTGCTAGGAAGAAGAATGAGAATTCCACTTGCTTTGTTACTTCCTCCGAAAAAAATTCAGAGTAATGAAATTTCAAAAAAATTTAAAGAAGAAGATTTGATTTATGCTAAAATTTACAAAAATAACAAGTTCTGTTGAATTCCTGGAAAAATCATAGAACCAATTGGCAATGTGATGTACAATTACAACATTACTTATGTCAAGATTGGGTTGAGTTGTATGCCTTATTTATTTCCTTTTCAGAAATATCAATTACCGCTTGCTGATTTTTTTTTAGGTGTGTTTCTGAATTTTCACACTTCAATATTTTATGTAATTCAATTATTATTATTTTTTTTTACTTCAGTGCCGCCTTTGCCATTCTGTACATAATAAACTATCGACCCATCCCTACTAATTACTTGTTAACAAAAGGGGTTACAGCCTGTAAAGGCTCCCCTTTCAAATCAATCAAATCGTTGAATCAAGAAAAGAGGCCTCATTGTAGCTACCAGTTGCAGGATACCAGGGCAAGATTCATCTCAAAGAAGTGATTGGAACTAGCAAAGATAAATTGGATTTTGTTTTCCTAGCAGGTAAGATATTAAAATGCCCATAAGATGAATCTTATGGGTATTCACTTTTATACAGTTCACCGGGTCATTTTCACATGTAAATTTTCACGAGACAATCAAACGTCCAAAATGAGCCTTTTTGTACCTCTCAAGGTCAGGCCAAATAGCGGATGAACTGTTGTTGCTTATCTATTATCAAACAATACACTAGTGTTTTATCCAAATAATCACAACACATTAAGACGATGTCATACTAATAAAATTATAAGATTATGTTAAAGAACCAAATCAAAACAATAAAATTTTTTAATAGAAGCGTTTAATTTACAAGACAACATAGAACAAAGCTCAGATCAGTCTTTAGATCAAGAAGTTATTATTGAAAATATACCAGAAAATAACAATTCAATAGAATTC